TTGTGTGGTGTCCTCTTTGACTTTAACAGGTGTGGCCCCCGGAATGTCGTCCTTAACGCAGCTCTATGTAGAATTGTCAGCCCTCAAGGGAAGGCAGGGGCAGATCATGGGCATTCCCCGCCATCCAAGGAGGCTTCCATAAATGCAGAGCCGATACATGATGCTCTGGTTCTGGGCTCACCCAAGGAATCGTCACGTCCTGCCCATGACTGCTTAACCTCACAACCGTGTATTGAGCTTCCTGTGCTACAAGGCTGCGCTCTCCGGAGATCAGCCCGCAGGTCTAGGACGTTTGTGGCCACACAAATAGGTACATTCTTTTTCATCTTACGTTAGACACCTTTAAATTTGTTTCAGCTGTGCCCTTAGCACGACAGAATGGGGAAGCTAAATGCGTCAGGCGTGGCTTCACTTGTTTGATCCCAACACTCGGGCGAGTTGGACCAGTGGATAGGGACATTCGGACTTTTTCTTAATCGGTACGAATTATGATCGTCGGACTTTGAGCTTGCATGTGTGCCGTGGGGTATAACTTTGTCGAACATTATTTCCAAGCCAACATATGAAAAGTTGCTGCCGTGGTGTACCTCAGCGTGGTGACGACGACACTGAGGATTGAGGATGTACGTAGGTAGAATCTTACTGCGAGAAGTCGCCCACAAGAGATGTTACTCGTCTTGGCTGCGGGTAAATCTCTCGGTCAGGGTTGAGTCTCAGCAGCACAGTTTTCCATTCGCTCCCGAATTTTAACCAAGAGTTGCCATTTGATGGTACATTTAGCAAGCAATCCTTGAGTTTTGTTAGACTTTTCACCCATGCGTTTGGGGGCGGGCTGGTGAGAGCCAGAAAGGACACTACACCTCTAGGGGCCGCCAGCTCCGAGATCCCCTGCCAACTCTGTTAATGCTCATTTGAGACATTATCCGTGGCGCACGACGGGGACGTGCAGCAGGAGTCTTGCATGAGGTTCCGTAAAACCAGAACAGTGAAGGACTGGCGCCCGAGTGGGGTACGGAGTATCTCCTTATACACCTCACATCAGACTTAACTTTGCCTCATGCCTGTGACCGAAATCACCACGCCACAACGTGGATCTGAATGGAACCCGAATGAACGTTAGTCCTGAACGGCAGGGAGTGAAGCTGTGTTGAATTACAGTTGAGGACAACAGTTGTGTTCTATGGCTCGTTGGTTGTGTCAGTCGTGTACATGCCAGTGTCCATCGTCTGAAGCGTGGGTGTAGACTTAGATTTGATTTTATCAAGAACCGACATCACAGTACACAGGACATCCTCATAATCCCTCTGTCCCCATCTTCAGCAGCCAGCGAAGAATTCCGATACTAATGGTTTCAGTAGCATTCTTATTAAACGTCTGTTTTGCCTTTCCTCTGAGCCTCGAGCATCTGCCAGAACCTCTCGTCACTCTCACCTGCATCAATCTCACCAGACTGTCGTGATTCATCTGCTCCTCCAAATATGTATATATATATGTGTGTGTATATATATATATATTCGCCTATAATGTCTAACTATGTCTATAATGTTAATCATTTAGTGCCTTCATCAACAACAAAAACAACTAACAAAGTAATAATCCCACAAAAAGTTTATTATTATCATCCCATGACAACAACTGCAAGTAACAACAATCAGACAGGATTTTAAAAATAATTTAGAACGGGGAAACATTGATTTTAAAAACAACTGCTGCTGAAGGACTATGTGCCTATCTTTGACGGCAGGAAACACCAGATAAGTGCTTGCGTTGTAGTTTCCGGTATTCCAGTTATATCTTTATAGGAGGTTGAACAGAGTATGTGGAATTTATTCTGATGGACTGGCACCCAGGATGTGAGTGACTTTATGTCATTATTGCCAGTATTAATGTTGTACGGCATATAATTATAATGTCAATACAGACATTACTGCTGTCACAAGAATGTCAGTCCTTCATATAGCAACACAGGACTGGCACTGTTAATTGCGGAACATTGATGTGTAAGTTGAAGGGGAAATCTGAGCACCTGTGGACATGAGCAGAGTGCAATGACGATAACCCAACTCATTACACAGACCAGAGGGGGTCGCCCAGTGTCAAGGGCTGACGGGAGTCAGTCAAATATAACCAGCAAACATGTATTACATATTGACCCTGCATAAAATTGCTACCTTTAATTTTTATCAGTCGAGTGATGGGCCACTGGCATGAAAAGAGGGTCTTTATGTTTTTTCCCATTTACATACCATAACGATCATTCATACCTTCTACCAGCCTAAAGGTCTTGTGTTTGCATCCGCTCACCTTGGTTGCACATATACCTAGAGAACTTAACTTTCAACAGTTTCACCTAATATCCTTGAGTCACAGTCCTTGGCATTATCAGGCTATTTATTTTTGGTGGCAATGCATGACTTTCATTACACTGTTTGGACAGCAATGTGACTGAAATACATCAGCTAAGTGATTTTGTGTATACTTGTCTGTAGTGGTTTTGCTGATTTATGTAATGTGCTGATGAAGGCTCTGTGACTGCAATATTCACTTTCTGTTTGTTATATTGTGAATTTCGCTGGTCTACTCTTTATTTGGTCTGATATCTTTTCATTAGATTTTTTTTATCAGCACTGACAGAGGCTCCCAGGTCCGCCCACCCTAAATGGGCACCAAGAAATGTCATGGAAAGTAAAGGCATCTGGCATGTTGACCGCATGATCCATCAAGTGCCAATCAGTCAATACAAATCTGAGTCTCACATCAAATATCCCATGCAACACTAAGCTCTGTGTTAAGAGAGACAGATGTGCATGGGGGTTCATTGCAAAAGCAAAAGGACATCACTTGGTGCCACAGTCTGGCATATGATACGACACATTCTATTTTGACAGTCGGGGTTAAGGTGGTCACTGCAGCATTCTGCTAGCTTGAGAACTAGCTATACACACATGTCGTGATGGTAACTGACTCACAATGCATGCTGAGAAAGGTGGAGACAGGTATGCTCCATGCAGAATGGCAAACATCGCTTCAGAGGTTTCAGGTAGTTAGCGTCATTTAGATATTTTCTTTATCTAGGTAGAAGACAGTGTAAATGAATGATAAGTGAAAAAAACTTACAAATCCATCCTTCAAGTCAAATACAGAAAACCACAGCAATGAGCTGCAGTGTGAAACAGTATGACAAAGGAAGAAGAAATATAATAAGGAAAATTTATTTTTGCTGTACTGAGTATATTTATTAATGATAACTATTTAAATTAGTCATAACAACATAATCATAGTGAAACCAGCAGCATTAGTCTTTGAACTCTGCCCTGACTGCTAAAGGTGAGGACAGAGCATTTATGGAAATGCCCTATGTGCTGTGAGTAGATTCTCAACTCAAGTCACAACAGAAAATGTTAAAACAGATTCTTCCTGCTGAGTTCTCACACCAGTAATGCTATTTGTAAATTAGTTATTGTTTTATTTCTGCATTTTCTCCCCAGCTCATAATGTGTATAAGTATGGCAACAGTGGGGAAAGACTAAGCACTTATGAATTTGTCCTAAGCGCAATGGCACTATTAACATCATTCACATACACACAAACACATTATGTTATTTCGTTGTAGCTACAATTTCACATACATATAAAAAACAGCAAACCCAAAATATATCATATAAAACATTATCTCATCTTATAAACACACCAAATAATTCTTACTGGATTTAATCAAACAATAAAATATTTCGTCTGATAAAATGCCACAGCGAAGTGGTTAATTAGGATGTTTGCCCTGCAGGTTATAGGTTCGATTTTGGACCCTGTATTTTGATTCATGTTGTGATTGTAACTGACTGACAGAGCAAGCTGAGAAAGGTGGCCACAAGTATGCAGAATGGCAAGTGTCACTTCAGAGGTCCCGCCTAGTTAGCATCTTTTAGGTAATTCCTCCAGGGAATGCAGGTGTGTTGGGAAATAAACAGGCAGACAGACTGGTTGCAATGCAGGTGTGTTGGGAAATGAACAGGCAGATAGACTGGCTGCAATGCAGGTGTGTTGGGAAATGAACAGGCAGATAGACTGGCTGCATTGTGCATCACTTGGTGGTAAACTGATGCATCTTAACTTATAACTCTTGGTTACAAGGAGTTTCTAATACAGTAGAAGCTGGTTTTGCTAGCATAAAAATGTCTCAAAACAGCAGATCTGTGTCATTAGTTGATCTTTTTTCGATGAGATGCTTTTAAATGTTGGTGGTAGGTGGAATGGAGGAGTTGTGATTAATGCCCCAAAACCTACACAGAGAATAATATTTTCACCTGACGGCAAATGCTCACTTGATAGCATATATTCACTCCACGGTATATGTTCACTTGATGACATATGTTCACCTGACGGCAAATGCTCACTTGATGGCATATGTTCACTCCATGGTATATGTTCACGTGATGCCATATGTTCACGTGATGCCATATGTTAATTTGACCCCAAATATTCACATAAGTTGTTCACTTGATATCATATATTAATTCAGTACCAACTAATGCACTACTTTTTACACAACACATCAGACACTTTTTAAAACATAATCCACTCTTTCTACATTAGCATTTGACCTCTGAACTGGTTACTTTACCCACATTATAAATGGCTTTAACTCTTCATTCAAACTGTTTATTTACTTTCCATGTTTCAGATCAAAAGAAAAAAAACTAAGGTTAAATATGGACAATATTATGTATAATATATCCATGTTAGGTTAGTTGCGTATCCTTTACAGGACATTGCAGAACCAACCCTAACAGCCCCTGGCTGTTGTGTGGTTTTTCTAGGCAAATTTGCGCCCAGTAGTTTGCCATTGCTTTCTGGAAATGTAATAGATATATATATATATATATAGAATATAAAGAAACCTTACCAAGCTTGTTGCAAAAGGTGACCAAGGGTGTGCTAAAAAAGATGTGTTGGATTGAAAGGCACAGATTTAGCAACCACCCTTTAAATGAACAATCCAATTAAAATAGTGAAGATAAATGGATAAATCGGTGCAACTCATGTTTGTGAATGCAAAAGCTGGCTTCTCGCTGTGGCGCAAGATTTCCTGGGCTTTCACTCATGGGCCATAACCTTTCCCACAGGTTGCTGTATCTTTTAGGGGTGTCGTGCTGTTTCTTTTTGATCATCCAAGCGTTCTGTTTTCCATGACGTGAGCGGGTGATTAGCAGAGCACTGTAACTTTTTGGCAGCAACACGACATGTGTAAAGCTCATGGCTGCCACTGCTGCCTTTCCCCCCAAGATATTTTTGTTATGTTTTGTAAGTTGTCGTCTAGGTTTTTTGGATTTTATTTTGGAAATTTTAGACAATACTAGGGTTTGAGTCTTACAGATGAGAAAACTAGAATGAATAAATATATCAGCCATAATAATGTATGCAGATATAACCTAATGTTAACCCTCCGGCCCTTTTTCCTTTTTAGGGCCCACCGCAAAATTACACCAATTCTCAAAACAGATATGCTGGTAGAAGACACCCAGTTCTCACAGATATGAAAAGTATCGAACACTTGTCCCCACACAGAAACAAACAAAGAACAAGAAAGATGAAATAACCACTCCATCACTCGCCAGCTCAGAAAGAGACACACACAAAGTCGCTGTGGCGGGCCTCGAACGATTTTCTACATGATGTTTTGACAGCCCTAGAAGATACAGCAGTCTGTGGGAGAACGGACCCCAAGAAATCTCACTCCATGGTGAAAAGTATCTTTTTGCGGACACAAACCTGAGTAGCACCAATGAATCATTTAAAGAGCAACAGCTCTTGAAGCAAAACAAAAACGTGTAAGCCACATTTTCAGTGTATCAGGAAATAACAAGAGACAATGGCTAGCCACTGTAGAAGAAATGGAGGACAATGCGTATACATCCCAGGCAAAGTAATAAGTCACGAGAAAGTAAACAAATGGAAGACCTTATCTATACATCCCACGGAAAGTAATGAGTCACAACAAAGTATAGTATTGAAACATAAATATATCTATTATTATAAAATATCACATACAATAGCAAATAACAACAGGATCAAACTAACGGCTTCTTGGCTTCATCCAGCTCAACACTAACCTCTTCTATTTTTAATGCCCCGGCGACTTTTTCTAAATGATCCTTCTTCATCTCCCGGCGCTTGACCTCTGTATAACCTGCCGATCCAAACAGGACCACCATGTTGCTGAGCCACCACAAGTTAGTCTTGACATCATGAAAATAAATACAGGCCAGGATGGTTTGTGCACAAGCTTTTGCTGTCCCCGAGATGTTGTGTGTCAGAGGGGACGTCACCTATATGTAGAGTAAGAAAAGGATTTATTTTTCACTAGCCAGGTTTTGAAATACGTGTGGGTTGCGGGACTCCATTTAGGAGAACAAATAACAATTCCCCCACCCCCACAAGCATGTCATAGGAAGCAACTTACTAGGGTCCTTCGTTTAAAGTCAAAGTGCATCTGCCTGAGATGCCTGACACCGACAGACCGCACAGAAATTACCCAGATCTGTAAAACGGATGTGCATTCTAAACTCAAATAGTGGATCAAGACCAAAGTCCAGAAGTTGACGAACAACCAGAACTCCACCCTGGAGTTTACAGCCTGTCAATGCTAACAAAAAGATAATCATCTGTGGTCTCTATGCCCAAGTGGGTAAACCATTTGCCTTTTCCTCTGAAGGTACATTTTTAAAAAATTCATAGACTGCATCATTCAGTTCAAGAGTACGATTTTTATGAAGATTGCTGGCTAGAGCTAGAGTTTGTGCTATATTCTTGGCAGATGGCTAGTTATTCTAGTTGATTTGTAGTAATGAGGATGTTGAAAAAAAATGGAATAATTATGGTGAAGACTACAGCTCAAATGGTTTGGACATGTGTCAAAACTATCCACATGACCCATTCAGTGCTAAGCTGACCACAAGACCCACTCAGTGCCAAGCTGACCACATGACCCATTCAGTGCCAGGCTGACCACATGACCCATTCAGTGCCAAATTGACCACATGACCCATTCAGCGCCAAACTGACCACATGACCCATTCAGTGCCAAACTGACCACATGACCCATTCAGTGTGAAACTGACCACATGACCCACTCAGTGCCAAACTGACCACATGACCCATTCAGTGCTAAGCTGACCACAAGACCCACTCAGTGCCAAATAGTCTATAATATATAATGTATATATATAGGTCTAGTACCATATGCATGATGTGTCGAGGCCTGATAAGTGTCACTTACTTACTTTTATTGGAAAAACATGTATCTGAAACAGCAGGCTTGTGATTCAAACCCAAATTTGCCACCTTTTCTTATATTTATATAAAGAACCCTTACCTAAAACTGCAGGCTTGTGATCAAACCCAAATATGCCAACTTGTTCTTATATTTATATAAAGAACCCTTATCTGAAACTGCAGGCTTGTGATCAAACCCAAATATGCCACTTTTTCTTATATTTATATAAAGAACCCTTACCTGAAACTGCAGGCTTGTGATCAAACCCAAATATGCCACTTTTTCTTATATTTATATAAAGAACCCTTACCTAAAACTGCAGGCTTGTGATCAAACCCAAATATGCCAACTTGTTCTTATATTTATATAAAGAACCCTTACCTGAAACTGCAGGCTTGTGATCAAACCCAAATATGCCAACTTGTTCTTATATTTATATAAAGAACCATACATTGTTGGCCAGCGTACCTTGCATGCTCAAAGTTGATTGACCGATGTGCTGGTTTAGTCATTGTTGACATTATCCATTATTATGGCGGCTTGTTCGTCTTCAACACATATCGTCACACATATTATTGAAGACTTGCTGCATGCTTAAATGGGGAATTACATGCTTCACTGACTTCGAAGCAATCATACCTGTGCTGGCCAGTTCAACAGGTTGGGTACCTGTTTATAGGATGACCATGGAGACATGCAGGCAGATCGTAGATTTATGGTGGCATGAAAAACCCTTACCTGAATCTGCAGGCCTGTGACATAGCCGATGGCAAATCCAAAAATGCCACTAATGATCATCCAGTTCCAGAAGTTGAGAGAGCCCAGCAAGGGGAAATTGTAGATCTCCTTCACCTCACCAAAGACAATCATCATGGGAATGAAGAGAATGCAGGCATTGATGTTGTTGTACAGGGTCAGTCGCCAAACGTTGTTGTCTACAAAGGGTAAGACTTTTTTGGTGTAGATGGCATTCAGGGCGACACTGGCGCTGGCCAGAACACCAAACACAACACCGATGACAGACAAAGTCCCTGGAACAAATACAAAACCCCCCAAAAAATCAACATCATCACAGCTCACCTCCATACACTGGAAGGCTAATAAAGTAAGTAAAGTAAAGAACTCTTTTCCATGCTTTCAGGTAGTTACTTTAGTCAAATTTTCAAAATGCCCTCTACACCAATAAAACCAGCACAGTTAGATAGCTGTAAACAATCTCTTTCCAACGGTCCTCATTTAGGCTTGTATGTCATTTCTGAGCTGAGATATGTAGGTTTTTGTGGAGATGAGATGTAAAAAAAAAAAGCTGTTGAAACTTGCGTCCCAGAAACAAGAAGTTTTCTCTGCGCAACCAAACTGCGCACTTTCGTTTTGGCTTTGTTTACATTGGACATGATGGCAGACAATTTTTTTCAGACACAGCCACATAATAGCGATTGCCTGAAAAATGTCAATGTAAATCTAAAAAGCCACTGATAAGAAAGAAATTTTATATACAAATGTAAAATTGGACGGAGAATTCAATTATAACTAGCATTACCATGACAAGTAATGTTAAAGCCTAAAGCCAACCTTGAATACTTACCGCTATTTTCAATCAAACACTGATGTAACAGAAAAACAGAGGACGTCCGGCTGTCGTAGTCATGCACTGTTAATCGGGTTCGTTCCCGCCGTTTTCAGCTATTTATAGCTGGTGAAAATCACACCAATCGCAAAATTTCATGAGAGATTAGGACCCATCCCGAAACCAGCCGACATTTCCTAAACAAGTTTCAAACGGTTTCCGGGTAACGGAAATTGCCAAAAAAAAAACAAATTGTCGAACATCGTAGTACACTACTTTCAGGCATATAGGGCTAGACCTATATTTTATAGACCCTATATGTATCATCATCATCAATTATTAAGGAAGCAGAAAAGCAAATATGAAAACTCCCCCAAAAAAACAATTCAAACCTGATGCTCCTTCCTGATCAACTCCCATGAAGAACCCTGCGATGATGACAGCGCAGCACAACAACGCCTTCCCTGATGTCGTTTGTTGGAGCAGAAGATATGTAAATATCTGAAATATGAAAAATCTCAAATATGTAAACAATTTCAATGTGTTAACACTAAAAAGTGTGTTTTTTAAATGAACATATGTAAACACATAAAATGTGTAAACACCTAAGATATGAAATGCTAACATAAATAAACAGCTAAAATATGCAAATTAAAAAAAAAAACTGAACATAAGCAGTTATCTATTGGAGCAAGTTACAAATCTGACCCTGGTAAAGATAAAGCGAACAGAAAGGCCTGTTCTAGAGATTTCTTCCTGCTGTGAGGCATTCCAGGAGTAGAAAAAAGAAACAGATTCACAGCAACATCAACCAAATCAATTTTTTCTTCATAATAAATTTACTAAATTAACTCTATATTCTTATTAACATGAGCCAAATTAATCTGTTCTTTGTTTTGAAAAAGTCTACAAAACTGAATTTACATTCTTACTAATAACAACCAAAATAATTTTTCTACACAGAAAATCTAGCAGATTAACTCTGTATTTTTACTAACACCAACCAAATTAACTTTGTCCACTACCTGCAATTTCATTACTTAGAACACTTTTAGATAATTTTATAAATAGGCAATAAGTTACAAACAATGAAAGCAATAAAATAACAGAATTGGTCTGACACAACCTCCAACAACACCCATAAATACTCTATCCCACTTAGAAAATGAGAATGACAATGGCCAGTTGGTTACGTACGCCTCTGCTTAATTCTCTATAATAATACTTTATTCTAGTATTGAACCAGATGCCTTATCCATCAGTCACAGTTGCCCAAAGTCTTTGAACTGAGTTTCCTTACGCAATCATCATCATCATCACACAGGAGTGCTGGTTATGTGTCACATACGGCTCCGAGTCTATTCCTCCATTCCATTCTATACAATCTTTTGATATCATGAATGGAATCCAGTCTAGTCCATATGGACTCTCTTATCACTTGTTTAAACAGGGTTTCACTTGAATATCCTAATCTTCTCAATCCATCCCCCCCCCCCCCCCCGAAATGAAGGGCCTGTATGGTGATTCCCTTCTAATAAGCAGTATTGCTGCACTGGCCAATCACAGACAGGCATAATTAATAAAAAAAATTATAAATAAATTAAAAAAAAAAAAAAAAACAACCAGATTCGAACTCGAAAACCTTCTGGCCCGCAGGCAAGGATCTAGCCTTTTTTTATTTTTAACAAAGGCACAAGATTTCTTAATGCAATAGGTTTAATTTACCTAAATGTACATTATAACACCAACTGACAGAGTATAAACTTACCACATTGAAGACTGTAGTTAGTGATCTACCAACAAAGTAGAAGGCCACCCCAATATACTTGAGACACAGATTGTTGAAGGTGATCATGCACACAAATATGATGGACAGCGGCAGAGTCTGGCAAGAACAAATATTAAGTCAAGAAAAATAATAAGTCATGAAAACGGCAAAAACTACATCTATTTATTGTTTATTAACCCTCTGATCCAGAGATGCCACTAATTCTGCATTACAATTTATTACAAATCCCTGAGAAGCCACTAAAGCCATATTACTGCACTAGCCAATCACCAACAAGCCTAGTTAACAGCATTGGTTCTGTTTGCATCAGTGCAGTGCTTAGGAGGGCAGAATATAATTATATTTACTAACAATAGCATGGGAAAGGGAGGGGGGGGGGGGGACACTGTGAAAGAAAGGGTTTGTTTGTCAAAATGGTGTCATAATTCTCCTTTAGCCTCTATTAACTGTGTCAAGTATGAGTCACCATATGTGGTTTTTTTTTTTTTTAAACTCAAGGGACTGTAGTCATTTAATTCAATGCTTTATTCCTGTTTACTGATTGCTTTCATATAATTAAAACAAAAAAAATTGTATAGAAATAAATTGTTAAACTATTCATTAGTGACCTTCTTTTAAAGAAATACAATGTAGTATGCTGCATGTTTCAATATCTAGCCAGATTTCTTTAGTATTTTCAGACCAATCATACAAGTTTTAGCAATAGACCAAAAGATTCTTGATAACATAAATCTTGATCCATTAGGGTCACGGAGGTGTATCGATGGAAGCACTAGCAACCAAAACCCACCATTCTTCTGTCTTCCACTTGATGAATAAGTGTGTGATATTTTAGCACTGTCCCTTTCTTGATGTTGTCACTCGAGTTTCTTCTTTGTCCTCCTCTTCTAAGACTACCCCCTAATGTTCCTTAAAGTACAATCTTTATAATCGAATCATGTCTCACCACGTGCCTGAATCAAGCTAGCTGGCAACGTTTCACCACTGCCAAGAGAGGCTTCTGATCTGCAAATTTGTCTCTGGCATATTTGTTAGTTTTGTGTTCTAAATAACTAATTCATTAAATGTGTCCATAGCATTTATGTTCGAAAGTCTGAATGCTCCTTTCAATTTCCACAGTGAAAGTCCAACTCTCACATCCATATAAGAAAACTGACAATACCAGTGATTTGTATAACCTTAAATGTGATGCTGATTTTGCTCTTCCACATGGTATTCAGCTGGGACATTTCGATTGTTGCCAAATCAAGTTGCTTGATACATGGCTAATATCTGATCCCACAAGGTGAGTTGCTCGGGACAGAAAGAGTTCATATATAGTCGGAGTAATGATCTTATTTCCAAGCCATGAGATGTATTGTGTGTATGGGGCTAGCAACATGTTTTTATAGACCAACTGGTACTCAATGGGAGATGGGATCATTATCATGAGCAGATGGGATCATTATCACAAGAAGATGGGATCAGTATCATGCCAGCTACTTTTACTTTCCAGAATATTTTCCAGTACACATAAGGGAAGGTCATAAAATAAAGGCAATTTTTATCTAGTCTGCATGGAACAGTATGCAGAAGAAAATATTTCAGGATCCAAAATAGTACCTTTGTAATACCCAAAATACAAATTGGGATGATTTAGCAGTATGCGTATGCACAACAGCTCCTACAATATGGCCACAGCACTGTTAACATGCACTGGGGAAAGCAACATGGTGTTATTTGTTTATGTGGGCTGATGGAGTTAAACCATCTGAAATCTATTGAAGAATGAAGGTTCAATATGGAGACAGCTGTGTGACTCACAGGAAAGTGTATGAATGGGTGGACAGATTTAAAGATAAAAGAAATGAGAAGGTGAGGAGGAGATCTGTTAGTGTGGCAACAGCAGACAGAGCAAATCCGTGACAACAGATGAGTCACTATTGATAAAACTGCTGTAGAATTCCAGGTGAGTCACAGTGTTGCATACACAATTTTTCACGACCACTGTACACAGACAATTTGTAAGAAAAATTTAGGCAATCATGACCGCGAAGGAGATGCTTTTCTCCATCGAACTGTGACAGGTGATGAGGCTTGGGTGCACTATTATGAACCAGAATATAATAGATAATTGATGCAACCGCCGCCCCTAAATAATTCTAGACAAAGGCTTCAGCTAGGAGATCCTGCTAACCATCTTTTGGAATGTCAAGGGCCCTATACTGACTCATTTCCAGGAAAGAGGGGAAACTGTGTGCTTGTTACAATGGCATGTTAGAAAACAAGTTGAAGCCTGCGATCTGAACAAAATGTCAGGGTCTTCTCTCGAAAGAAGTTTTGCTGCTTCATGACAATGCCTTCATCACAATTATGTATAATACAGTGGATACACTACAGATTCTGCAGTTTGAAGTATTGAAACATCCAGCATACAGCCCAGACTTGGCACCGTCATACTTTTATTTGTTTGGCCCATTCGAAGAACATTTGCGGGGTCAGAGATTTACAAATGACTATGAGATGATGCCAGTGGTGCAAACTTGGTTACTGGCCACCCCAAAAGCTTCTACCTGGCGGGGCATCCCCAATCTTGTGGATCAGTGGACTACATGTGTTGCAAGACAGGGAGACTATGTTGAGAAATAGGACACAGAACAATTTTGTTCTGGCCACTTGCACAAAACTAATTAATGCAACTGGCTTCACTTAATGACTCCCCTCCCCCCTTTTAGTCTGGGTTGATTGGAGTCTAGGTAATTTTTATAAATCCAATTCAGTGTGTTTAAATCTATGTCCATTGGGCCACTGGTGTTGATTTCAATCAAGATATGGAGAGCTGACAGTTCACACAGTAATAGCAAAATCTCTTCTGCCCTTTAATCCCTAATGGAGAATAGGGCCTCAACCAACTCAAGCCACGTTGTTCTAGCCTTTGCTATTGCATGCATCTCACCCCATGTCCTCCCTATCTTTTCAAATTCACTCTCTAGCTCTTTTCTCATTTTTTTTTATGGGCAAGGATGTGCAAATTGAAGCTGCCGGAAATCAACATTCACAAAGACAAGAGGTTTGATTATTCAACATAGAACAAGTGTCATCAGCCATTTCACACTTGTGTAGCTTTTGAGAAGGTGATCGGAGCATCTGTGGATCTACCGAGAGAGCTGTGATGATAATCCTGACCAATCTAGATAAATTTGTCATGCATTCTTTGGTCTGCCTTTATCTCTATGCCACTGTGGCTTCCAGTGCAAAAACATTCTAGTTGTTATCAAGTTTTCTCAATGTGTGTCCTATCCAATACCAGCGTCTCTACTTCACCACTTGATTCTCTGGACTTTGGTTAGCTCTCTCCATAGCTCAACATTAGTGATCCTATCAGACCATTCCCCAGTCACGAGATGATGAATGTTTTTAGTTTATTGGTAATTGTTGTAGTTGTTCTCAGTGTTTCCACTCCAGTACTGATTTGACATTAAAATTAATCAGTTTAAATTTAGTATTAGTTTTAATTTCCTTGCCTTCCACAAATTTTGTACTGCTATAAAAATGCCTCTTGCCATTTTAATATGAACGAATTCATATTTTCATATCTCTGTAAAACATCCTAATATCTCTTTTAAAAAAAATAAGGATGTGACAGCTGCTGAGTCTATTCCTTTATTCCATTCTATCCTGTACAATCCTTTTGATATTCTAGACAGAATCCAGTCCAGCATCTTTGACCACTCTCATCAACATTCAATTTAAGGTTTCTCTTGAATTTCCTCATTTACTCAATCTATTTGCTTCCAATTTCAGTGCCTGTTTGTTGATTCTCAACTAATTTTGTCTTAGGATATGCTCAGTATATCTTATGACTGTTGATACCTCACAATCATGATTACAAAACATGTTTTACTCACCGCTCGAAGAAGCTTAGCTTCTATCTTCACCGCTGGGAACTTGATCTTGTCCGGGAAGATCTGCCCTGCTAAACTCAATAAAATACACAGCAGCACAGTGACCACACACTGGAACCAGGTCACAAACAGAGGAGCATTGAGCTGCAGAAAATTAACCAATCAGCATTAGGATCATATTATTGCATCACTTCAACAAGATTTAGAGGAAAATAAATACCATTAGCATTTTCCATTACTTTCATAACTCATTAAGCAGATCCATCATCCTTGATGTAATCAATTCTGTAACTAAATTCTTCATCCCTGGTATCAGAAGGAGACAGTCATCATTTCTAATATAATTAATCTAATATTTCGAATCTTTATCTCTAATAATAATCAGACAACTTATCCGAAACAGGCAGTCATCCAATATAATAAATTCTATATTTCAAATCACAATCCTTAACATAATCAAACAAGGACAATTTATTACAAACATTAGAAAGAGACAATTACCACTTTTGATTTAACTAATTCTAAATTTCAACTTGTCATCCCTAATATAGACAATAAGTCAAAAACATCACAAAGAGGCAATGTTGGCAACATTACTGGAAGAGAAGAAAAAAAACGGAGCATGATGTGACAATTGGAAATATTTATGGAAAGAGACGGTAAAAAAAATGGGTCATTGGCATTATTTCTGTGACCTAAAATTCACAGCGGTATTCTGGACATGACATAAACAACAACATCTCTCACAATGCAATTAGTTAGTTAGCTGGGTTATCATCATTGCACTCCGGACATGTTCATAGGTGCTCAGATCGTCCCCTCAGTGTGAACCCCAGCATCCGGTGGTTAATAGTACCAGCTCTATGTTGAATAACAAGTCTTCTAATGTACCTAGTGAGCGTCTCGTTTTTTGCTATGCCGATCTTTACTCCCAAGTTTATCATTCTGGTGAGTGATGTGGATTCACTACCCTTAAAGTATTCCACTATTCCTATTTCTCTGAGGGCATTAATAATGTCAACATGATCCATAGGTTGACAGTCAGCAGTGACAGCGGATCCAGCCAACCTATCAGCTCTTTTCCCATTGCAATAAATTATCTTATCTCCCAATGCAGTCTTCATCATCATCATCAAGTGCCTTGCCAGCTGGCGTAGAAGTTCATGCGTCACCATAGATCTCGGTCTTTGGTGTTCTGGATCAATTTTACTGATGATATTCCTCCACGCTACTGTCTTAAGCCGTCCACCATCATTTCTCTTGGTCTGCATCTTCTACCAGTCATCACAATATTTTCCAGTGCTCCTTTTCTCATTACATGACCAACGCAATCTTATATTCTCTAAACGCTATGCAGTCTACTATAAGAGATATCATTCCACCATCATTTCTCTTGGTCTGCATCTTCTACCAGTCATCACAATATTTTCCAGTGCTCCTTTTCTCATTACATGACCAACACAATCTTATATTCTCTACACGCTATGCCCCACAGCAATGCAGTCTACTATAAGAGATATCATTCAAACAAGATTTTATACATTAACACAATCATCATCTTTCGTTGTTAACCACTTCTGCTGTCAAGTCTTGTGGGGAGGAATAATTTGTGATTCAGTGCATGCTGATTATAATCAAGGATACTAATTTAGTTCAGAGGAAAAAACACACACACAACTGACCTTTAAGTCTTCACTACTCAGTAAATACTTGTTGACAAACACCATAGAAATTGATATCACCCTGAGAACATAATAAGAATTAAATCATCAGTAATAATACTTTACTTTTAAATATGATAAGAATCATTTCTGATGGCACATGTGAGACAAATTTAACAGAGAATTAACAATCAGGCCCTGGGATCTGACGCCGCAATGAATTCCAGGAGTGGAGAAAAGAAGAATCACTTCAATCTTCATCACCACCTTTTCTCAAGTGAAATTAATTTTTTTAAAGTTAGTTGCATATCCTTCATAGGGCATTCCAGAATCAACCCTAGCTAATTTATTTTCTTTCAGCTGTCCTTGATTTTACTGTGCAACTTTCACGAGAGTTTGCCATTGTTTTTTAAATGGTCAGCTCTCAATATCATTGTTGAAATCAACACAAAGCAGTCTGCTGTCAGATCACCCAAAGCTGGAATCAAATTATGAACCACATTTGCAACGACACAGAAATTAAATATGAACGACAATTAAAAAAACCCAAAAAACTTTCATGAAATTATCTAGGAAATTGTCTAGTAAAATGGCACAACAACCATTAAATGCTATTTGATGGTACAAAGTCAATAGGACTGACTTCATTGCCAAGATTTATTCCATAATGCTCAGTGCCCTTTGACATAACAGCTAACTGACTGCCGTCATATCAAGTATAAATTCTGCAGAACCAGTCAAGATCGCTAGGGATCTCAGTGAAAACTGCACTGATGAACCAAAACAGTCTGAGAAACAAACCCCCAGCATTTACAACACAAGGAATGACTTGACTTACCCATGGGGGACCCTGGCTCTCAACTACTGTCAGTGTTTACACAGTAAAACTGGCCAGATTACAGCCAGCTGAGCTGCATTAAACTTTGAATTTCATCCGGGTAAAGATTCGACGACACAGCATTCAGGACAAGCTTATATTAGCCCTGTCTCCCTCTTCAACAGCCAGTGAAGTCTTCACAGTGATCGTACCGACTGTCATCTGGCTAACTACTTCTGCCTTTTCTTGTGTGGCATCCAGAACCCATACCACTCCCTACTGCACCATACTCTCCTGGTACAGATTTTCGATATTTTCCATTTGACTAGTTACCTCATCTCACAGGCAAGAGATCACCTCTGCCTTTGCAGTACAATGCTCAAGCAGGGTCGGTCCAGCCAATCTATCAGGCCTACATCCTCTAGGCAAAATATCCCTTAAAGTTCAAAGATGTCTTGTACGGCAATTAATCAATCAATAAGGTGTCATCTCCAAGGTAAAGATTGGGGGTATGGTTCTCCCACACTTCTTTTTACTTTGGTGTTACTTTTGATGTTATCTTCCCACTTATATCACTGTGTACCTATTGCTTTCCAGCTGTTAACTTTTCTCTTCAGTGCAGTTTAAAAAAAAAATACATTGTCTGTTACTGTCGTCAAATTATTCCACTAGTAGCCTTTCTTTTCTATCGGCATCTTTTTCATATTGATTTAGCTAAATCTCCATCACTTCCTGCTGTCATGATTCTTCCTAGCTGTGGGAAGGGATCAGTGCAGAACTGAGATATAAGCTAACTAGGATATAGACTAGGGCCTTGTAATCTGCAGGCTTCAACTCCCCTCCTCCCTCGCCACAAATGCAACTGTTTAAAAAATATTTAACATGAATTTTTTTTTTTTAAATAGAAACTTTCTAATTTTATTAATATTATTTTGGGTACAGTAATGCAGGCTTTTATTTATTCTAACTAAAATGTTTTAAGTGGTAACTTGAGAGCCTTTACGGCGATTTTATAATATCATTTATAAACATATTCTTTATTATTTCTTTAATAACAATTTAAATGTGGCTTAGAGATGAGCAAATCTGAAAGTGGTCAACGTTAAAAGATAGATAAAGTCCATGCCATGTGGCGCTGGTAGTCATTCATGTCTATCCGCAAAATAACTGTCTCTTACTTTTATTGTTTATATATTTAAAATGTGTATTAATGTTTTTTTTAGATTTCTGGAGTAAGTTAAGTAGGGGTCTTGTGGCTTTATTTAGCTTAGAATGTTATCAAGTCTAAATCTGGTCTTGGATGGGATAGTTCTACAATTCTAGTTAAGAGTTAAGAGCCCAATTTTTTCATGGTGATATCCAGCCTGCTGTTTTGCTGAACAAGGCCACAGCAGACAACAATCACCAACACTCGCGTCCACTACAGGCTTGCACTCAACATATGAAAAACTCACAATTACAAGCTCTGAGTACAGTACGCCAGCTGTTTGGCAACTAGGATGATACCATTTTACCACCGGCCGCCATTCTTTAAATTATACAACTGTAAGTCTTGAATTGACGGGTTCCTTTCTTCAACTTACTTCTTTCTGTCTTCACATGAATTAACGTAATTTTATCTATGTGTTTGCCTTTGGTAATTACATTGTCTAAGACTACTGAGACTTATTACCCTGTGTTTAAACATATCCTCCTTCTAAACAAGACTAACTAATTAAACAGCAGACTCCGCTGAAAACATTAAAAGAAACTTATGAAACTAACAAAATAAACAAATACGAGGCTCCTCACCAATAAGCCGCCACGACGCTGGCAATAGAAATGTACTTGGAAACTAGCGACTCCATCTTTCCACGTCCGCCGAGGTACGTCTTGCCTGGTTTGGGGGAACTGTTAGAGTAATCCCGGTACATGACACAAACTCGATCTACAGGTCCGTGTTCGATACAGAAAAGGCTTTTTGATATTTTCCAGTCGACGCGGAAGGCTGGTCGTCTGCCGGTGTGTGCAGCAGTTACTGCCCCTTACCTGTCCTCTCCCAGTTCCCTCCCCGCTCTGCGTGGATGGGACAATGATGTATGCTGTGGTAGTATTTGTGCGTTCCCCGTCTGTCTTTTCCTTATTCTTCTTCCGCCCGTCCATTTAACGAAAACGAAACACACACAAAATCGATCATGATCAACCTACTGCGAGCAGTGTCGGCTATAACTGTATAAGGTGTGGTCTGGTTTCCTTTCACAACTGCTGTTATAGCAGACTGGAGGGGGGGGGGGGAGGGTGTCTATAACAGCAGTGGTGAAAGGGACAGAAAGAAAGAAAATACAGCAAATAGAATTTGCGTTTGTTTAACAATGTTCCTCTGGAATTGCAGCTTGGAAGGAGGGAATGATCTTCCTTACACTTGACAACTCATGAATAGAACAATGTTTTAAACACGGCCAACTCTAGATATAAATAAACAGCCTGGCGTGGTTTTAAATAACAATAACACCATTGCATAAACGTCGGATACAAATAAAAGTTAAAAAAAAAAAGGTCCCTTTTCCACGCCTTCAGGAGTATCGGGCATTTTAGTGTACCTTCTTTCTCCAGTTAATGGGAGAGGCCCAAGTAAAGAGATAATCGTTGTCTCCGCGATTTTATAAACCCATCGCTCGCGGGTGTTCGTCTTGCTCTGATTCTGCTGCAGAATCAAATCATTGGCGCTGGAAAATGGGTGCTCAGGCACCCCGAGCCCATCGGTATTTGGAGGGAGGGATGGAAAGGGGGGGGGGGGGGGGAGAGAACCCTCTTCCCGCCATGTATAGACGACCTCTTTTAAAACATTAAAAAAATATTCCTTTCACATTTTTAAAATATAATATTTTTTTTTGCCATCCAGCTCATACAATAATAATAATTGTGCAAATAAGCAAGCAGTCCCCCATCCCACCCCTTTCCCCGCCTCCTATTTCTTTGTGGCTTTGCGCCTCAATTAAAGCTAAATTATGCTTGTTGTGTGTTATCTAAAGAAAGTATGTTTCGCTCACCTGCTATTTGTAAAAGAACTAAATCTTTTTTAATTCTCCCTCCCCGACCACTCGCCTCCGCATTTAACGTAAAAATGAATGGTTGGGTGGGGCTAAGTTTTTAGCCTGCTCCCTGGGTTGAGGGGTGGGGGTAGGAAATGGCGTGCGGGTAAAATAGCCCCTGTTCACAAGATGTCCCACAGTTTAGCAAAGGAAATAAGACACGTTGCATCTTCTGCTGGTCATCACCATGTAGACGGTCCTTTGCAGAACGTCGCTCTTATCACTGTCTGCCCGAAAAAAACTCGGTCTCTCTAGTCAGCACTCTTACCTCGTGTACTTACATATTCAAGGAGTCACTTATATCATATGCCCATCTTCGTGTTGGTCGGCCCTTGCTCCCCCTTCCTGGTACCATGTCTTCTGCTGTTATTTGCTTCCCAATTCGTCATTCATCTTGATAGGATTAAAATCCGAGTTAAGATGCTGTTTATTAGCCAATCTTCTTTGATGTTCAGATCTTTTAAAATGTCAGTATTTCCTAGCTTCTTTGTCTATTGCAGTTTTTAAAAAAAGTACCCCTATGTTGCTTTCCTAGCGAGGTAAAAACAACTGGTGACTGCTGTTTTGAGTATACCCCAGTGTACTCCATCTACAAACATGGGCGACACTAGAGCTAAGTCAATCACACTGTCAGTCACCTGGTCGAGTGGCTATTCTAGTGACTTTTCCGTCATTTAAACATACCAAGGCCTCCTCCAGATCACGACCAGCTCCAGATTTATAAGGCAATGCAACATGGAAATGCTCCCAGTAACCTATTTTCGAGGGGGACTCCTCCAAAATGTGCCGTGATCAAGTTGTCAGGACCAACATACAGCCGGACGTGCTCCAGATCTTCCCCCTGTTTATTGGTGATACGAGTGCAATGACGCTGGTTACATCTCCCGACTTTACCTTTATTGGTGATGACATTGCACCACCGTCTGCCCTTGGCGTTAAAATCTCCGCAATAAACGATGCTTCTTTCCCCGGTCGCAAACATACGTTGCCACTGCCGCACGCCAACCTTCCCATTGCAAGCGTAAACATTGACGATCATGAATTGGGCGGGGGTCAGCACTTTTACTGCGTGCACCTGCATGACGTCACTGTCCATTAAGACATGTCCACTTCGTACGCTATCATGCTGTCGCGAACCACAAGGACCTGTCCGAGATGCCGCCGATTGTAGAAGCAATGAAAACCCACAACTTTAACTGACTCGTCTCCTAGATGTGTTACTTAAAGGCTACAATGAAGGTATAGCAATGGATCGTTTTGTTTCGTTTATTTTGCAATACATTTTCGTCGGTAACTATAGACGCGATTGCGACCCGAAAATTCGAAAACCAGTTGTGTGTTATTGAGAAATTATTTTTCTGTGCTCTTTACGTGAAAGATAAAATCGGAAAAGTTATTAGGAGTTATTGAAGAGATGCCAGGCTTTGACCTGAGATGGTTTTGACGCGTATAAAATAAATCTATTTTTTTTTTGGCAGCATGCAGTGAATTAACGGTAGGTAATTTCGCAATACAGCACATGTTTTAAAAAAAATTGTTTAGTAGCATCATTGTTTTCGCTTCAAATTCAATATGTTTTCACTAGGAGACAGTTTTTGCCGCTTTACAATTAACTTAAAATAATTATTAAATTACCTAACGTTATTTTAATCATTTTTTTAAAAATCCACAACCATTGTAGCATTTGTTCATGCATCTGTCATTATTTAGAGCCCTTCGTATTCTCTGTTGGAGATATTTTTGCCTGATCACCCCCAAGTCCCAATAATTAATTTAGGCCATCACTGGTAAGATGATTCTTTGGTAATTAACTTAGGATGCTTAGTAAATTGACAATGTTATGTGAGTTACTTTTTAAACATCCACAAACATTGTACCATTTTTTCATGTGTTTGTCATTATTTAGAGTTTACAGAATTTTATGTTGGAGATATTTTTACCTGCCCATATTTTGATCACGAATTTCACAAATTCTGGCACTAAATTCAACATTTGTGTGTGTGTGTGTGTGGATGTCGTTTTTTTTTTTTTTTTGGGTTTTTTTTTTTTTTTTTTTTTTTAACAGACGAGGGTCCAGAGTGGACAAAAACCAAAATTCCCCCGGGGGGTTTTTGGCCCAGGAAGGGGAAAGAAGAAGGAAAAATATGCATAAACACAATAGGGTTTTAAACCCTAGAAAAAAAAAATTTTCAGGGTTTTGTTCAAAATGAGATTTTTTAGTCTGACAGTTTTTTAACTTTCACCTTTTTTTTGTTTTAAAGTATCACTGTAACGTTTACTATTTACAACTTGTATTTTCATGAATAGTATTGGGGGGGGAAAGCAATTTTTTCCAAAATCATTTTTTTGTTTTCCCGCATGCTGTTAAAAATAATGCAATTTAAAATTGCTTAAAATTTTAAATATGTTAAAACTGTACAGTCAAATTTTTTTTAACCTAAAAAATGCTTTTAAAAATTTTAAGTGGGTTACTATGATCTGTATGTTTAAATTCTAACCCTTTTCCCTTTAAACTAGGCTGAGGGCCCCCCCCCCTTTAGACCTTTCATGCAGGTTACTGAAAAACTTGGTTTGCAGACCCGAGGGGTTTCTGGACACACAACTTGATGCATTTTGGGAAAAGAGATGAGGACGTGCGCCTTAAAAAGACACATGGGGGGTGGCCACCTTTGGATGAGTTTGTGGGGGGCAGTAAAAAGTTTTTTGCAGAATTTTTTATTGTTTTGAAAGACAGTTGAAAATTTTTTGATGGGGCCCTCCCTACTGGTTCCCCCAAGTTTTAGAACAACAGCTTCAGCTCCCACTCATAAAGGGTGCTGAGCGGACTCTGGGGATGATGGTGCCTTGATGGGAAGGCCCCGGGATGCTAACCTATGCTTCAGTGAAGCCAAGGGCAAAGGTACCAAAATAAAACTTGGTCTGGTAGATTCCCCTTCCGGGAAAAAATCAGCTGCAGCAATTTTTTTGATTTTGCTATGAAAAGGGGAAAGAGGGTTTTGAAAAGAAAACATGTGAGAGAGAGCCAAACCAATGAAAGGATGGTTTACATAAAAAATTAAACCGCTTTCAAGATCTTATGAGAAGGAGCTTTAAGGCTGCAGTACTCAATAGGGGTGTTTTGCACTGCTCCCGTGAAAATTTTAAAGATTTGATAGTTGTCCCCAAATTTATTTAGAGAGGGTTTTTTTTTTAACGTAATGCAAGTTTATCAAAAAGTAATACGCGAAAATTTTTGGCACAAAAAGGCCCGACTGTGTTTTTTTGAGATGGTTAGGAATGTGGGAACCACCAAAAAAACAAAAAAAATGTGAAAATTTAAATTTTTGTGGTACTGGGAGAAAACCCGGGGCCATCCAAAGGGTTTTTTAGTATGATGTTAAACATTTTTAGTTGCTTCGCATGGGGGAATTGTCTTTTTTTAAAATTGTATGTATTTGGGCTGTTTTTATCGCCATTTGTATGGCTTCATGAAAATAAAAATTTTTTTTTATTTGGGTTTTTATTTATAATAAAAAAAAT